GATCATTCACTTCAGACTCGCTTCGAAACTGAGCTAATTCTACGTTCAGGAAGTTAAGAAAGTGGATATAAACTGGAAAAAAGTTCGAGTATAAAAGTAGTCTTCAGATTGCTTTAATAAAAAAGTGTCTTATATAACAGACACTGTTTAAAATGTGAAGATATCTTCAATCACACGTGTATGTCATATAAGTCATATACAGAAATACATCTGTATCTGTACATAGTGAGAAACGCTAATTATTATTAATTAGTTATTTTTAATTTTGCAAGTTCCGATTTTAACCCATCTATAATGATTAATATAGCTAGCTAGCTAAAATTAAAAAAAAAAACAGTTATATGAAAACAGATGGACCGATAGATCTACAGGAAGTCCCCAAGGACTCCGTGGGGGCCGCCTGGGGAATCCCGTTACAGAGTCCTCGAAACTCTCCGGGTTAAAGTTACGTTGATTAATGATCTTCATTTCAAATTAAGTGGCCGCTTATAATCTAGCTAGTTTCTTTGAACAGCAAGTTCTTGATCGGCGAAGACTACTGAACGTTTTCCATACAGTCGCAAAAGCGCACAAGGACGGAAATTCAGAACTAGCAGAAGTATTTCTTCTCTCGTTCGTCTGTGGCGTAGTGATGATGAGTATTGAAATGGATACTCCAAATTATCTCAATTTCTGAGGAGACATACATGTAAGTCGTCTGTGCGGCCGTTCCACGTAAAAGTCCACTTTTAAGTAAGTCACTGACGTTTTGTGAGATAGATAACGAAAGAACTAAACAAATGTCGACTCTGCACTGATCGAAAGAGCATGGATTTTGATACCGATAGCTATTTTAAACTAAGAAACGACTTAACAAGCCTGTTGAGGAAGCAGTATAAAAACGCTCGCCGAAAACTGACCAACATTAGCCCTTGGTTGATTAATACTTAGACAGATCGATGAGCCCCGATTTTCCCTTTCGAACAACGAAGCTCTTAGCTCTATGCCTTCGAACGTACTCGACCTATTCAAAAAAATGATCGCTCTCGGATCCGGGCTGACTCGGAGTCAAAAGAGTGTCAGACTTGCCTTTCGCTATTAATTCAGCATGGACTTTTCGCTCAAAAGGAGTATCAATCGTTTTCTGTCCCTATCGATATCTTGAATTTCTAATTAGTCAATTGAACAAAAAGAAAAGTTAAATCAGCTGATCAATTCGAAATCTTTGTTCAAAATCCAGATATCCATAATTTCTTAGCTCTTATTTGAAGCGGAAAACATTCAAATAGAAGGCTCCCTCGTTCACGTTCAGATAGATGAGATTGGTAAGAAGTCGACCATTTATATTCAATGCTATTCTCGGATCAATAATACAATATTGTCATTCAAGTACAAAGTGAGTCTGCCTCCCCTAGTGAAATCTCTTGTAACCAAGATCTTGACTTCTTGAAATTTTCCAGTAACGCCTTGATTCAAGATCTTAGTAAGAAAATGTAAGAATTCAAGAAATTTCGAGACATCAAGATCTTGAACATCTTTTAATTTCTTGACTTCTCCTACCAAGATAAAAATTGTACAATGAGTGCAGCGTTTCTAATTGACAACATATTTATTATAAATTTTACGAATTTTCAACCTTTATGATCATTTTCAAGTAAAAAATGTTTTATTGCAAACAGAATACTATACCAGTGAATTCTAACACAAAGAGAGAAAATTGATAAAGCTAGAATGGATATTTACTGTGCAGTGTAGAGTAATCTTCAAGTTAGAGATGCCTCTAACCGACGCCTAGTACATGTTTTGGTAGTACTGTTCGTTTAACGCCGCCGGGGTAAACATATAATGGTACTGATCGATCTGTACCATTCAACACAAAGGCAATAGCTCTTATAGCCAATGATTCTTTTAACAATAGTTTATATTTATGTTTTTCGGGCAACGTAATTCGAAAATTATCTGATGTAAATTGATGTCCTGTGTCTTTATAATGTTTCT